ATTCACTAACATTTTTTGGTCCTTCGAGCCGGATAGCGGCGAGGCTCTCGGACGGATTAGCTCAAACACGCAGCGATCATGTGATCGGCGGCGCGCACGTACACGGTCCCACTCATCGATTACGTGATCTCACGACCCGCTCACGTGATCAGCGGCGCACATACACGGTCCCTCTCATTGATCACGTGATCTCACTACCTTCTCACTCTCATCATGGTGGACGAACCACAGACGGGCAAGACGGACCGCCCGAAAACCCCGGTGTTGGAAGTGCCGCAGGGAGACCGCACGTCGTCGAGGACGGCGTCTCCGGCCCGGCTTCCGACGGAACTCGCGTGGAAGGTCCAAACGCAGATGGGCCGGATCGCGACACTCACGGAACTCACCGAGGCTCTGCCGGATGTCCCGGCGCGGACATCACTTGAGGAAGTCGCTCAGTTTCAGCTCCTGATCGAGGAGACGCACAAGGCGTTTATCAAGGAACACGCCTACTTCGAGGTGTCATGGCCCTCGGCGCTCACTCACCACGAGTACTTCTCGAAGAATGCTCGCCAGGCAGAGTCGCGGTGCTATATGCAGGCGCGACGAGTCATCGGCGTGCTTCGCCACGCATTGGCAGCCGCTCAGCCCGCTCAGCCCGCTCAACCACAGACCAGCTCATCGGCCGGTGAGGACCGGCGCACGCACTCACGGCTACCGGACATCTCGCTCCCCAAGTTCACCGGGGAGTATGCCGCATGGCCCGCGTTTAGGGATCTCTTTACGAGCCTGATCCTCTCAAACCAGCAACTCACGGACGTGGAGAGGCTGCACTACCTCCGTTCGTCGCTGGAAGGCGCGCCAGCTCAGCTCATTTCAGGGCTCTCAATGGCCGGAGACTCGCTCACGCCGTCATGGGATCTTCTCAAGGACAGGTATGAGAATAAAAGACGGCTCATCCATGCCTGTCTCGACAAGATCTTCGCCAGCTCAACACCGGTGCCGAGGAAAGCGTCAGCCTTGGACAAGCTCGTCTCAGGGGTAAGGGAAGCTGGGGCATGGCTGCTTCGGACATTTCCTGGGTCGGATCGGAAAGGAGCAAGACTCCCGCTGCCACCACTGCAGTGCAGCGGACGACACCGCCCAGCACACGCTGGGCGAGTGTCCGGCGTGGGCGGGTGAACGAGAGACGCTCACCCGCGTGCTCGGGCAGGACCTCTCCCTACCAGCGGTGATTACCGCGATACTGGAAGAGGAGAGGTCCTGGCACGCGTTTGCCTCCTTCTGCGAGAAAGTCATCTCGCAGAAGGAGGCAGCGGAGCGGGAGTGGAAGGGCCAGATACCCCACCCCCGCCCGCCACAGCAACAGCGTCGGCGGCAGCACCGGGCTCGGGGAAGACATCCCCGGGCTCGGCCTGCCCGACCGGTCGCGGGGGATGGGGTGGGAGCTGAGTCAGACGGAGGGAGAGCCGGCGGGGGGACGCATACTCCCCCGGACTCCCCTCCCATGACGCGGAGCCGGGCGAGAATGTTACTCGCCCGTGCTCCCGCTCCCACTCCACCCCCTACTCCGCCGCCCACACCACCGCCCTGACGGGCGGGGGAGGGGCTGCCCGCAAGCCGCGGCGGGTAAGTCCCCTCCCCTCTTAGTGGGCGGAACACCGCCGAGGCGGTGAGGAGACGGCCCTCCCCCAACGACAACGGGGGAGGGAGCGCAGAGGCCCGCC